TGTCACCTGCAAGTCATTACAGGTTACCTGGATTGGCTGCTTCATTCCTGTCAAACCAAAACAGGTCTCTTCCCTGGCTCCCATTTCAAAAACTTTAAGATACTGCCTCCATAAAACTGTAGCTTGTTACAGTCAAGGCACACTATTCACCTCCTCAAATACGAAATATTTCAATGTATTACTCTGTATGGCCATACAGATCTCCATTAGATATTTTTTACATACCTGTCCCTTGTGTTCATATTGTGTGCATATATATGCGTGTGTATATCTGTATACACACGCATATATATTTACATACATATTTATTTACTCCTCTCTCATTTTCTCCATTGGACTAGGTTCTTCAATGATAAAAGCCAAGGTTTTCTGTTTCCTTTTTAACTCTTCCATGGCCTAATAACAGTGTTCTGCATATCATAGGCACTAAAGTAATATAGTTGACCAATGGAATATGATCTATTATCTCTGAGAATTTTTCACCCTTTAATTAGAGTGTTCCTGAAAAATTACCTTTTTTTTTTAATGAAGAACCCAATACATAATAAGAATAAAGCTAGGTCCAATATTGGAATAGTGAGTGCCAGATGAAAAAATGCTACTTTATTTATACGGGGAACATCTTACTAACTCAAAATTTTCCTGATTTTATATTGCTGGCTCATTACAATGTGAACACTCATGGCTAATTACACAGGTTTGTAAGTATGGTATGACATTTGGTGATTAGACAGGAAGAGACTAAAAATAATAAATTGAGTATAAGTATGTGTGGCCTCTGTGAGTACTTCCTTGTTCTGTTCCTCCAGGTCAAATGAGGGAAAAGTAGGGGTAGAGTTGCATATACTGAAGATGAAAGTTATCATATTAATAGTTCTGCAGTTTCTCACAGAAATATTAATGTCCTCAAAAGATACTGATGAACTCCAAAGTCCACATTATGATCAATAAGCAAAGGATCCAGTTTTAGTCTTGATAAATGTTGGTGTATTTAAATGAGAAGGAGCCAGACACATAGACACACTAGGGAGAAAGAGAAGACAGAAGGAAAGAAAAAGGCTCTCAACTTATTCTTCAAAAGCAGCTGAAAGTGGATTACTTTCATCCTCTTGTTTCTCTGGAAGGTTTTTAAACCTTCTTACTAACCTAGAACTAACTTCTTCTTGAGTCAGAATTTACCCAGAGGAGGGTTATGACATACCATATATGATAGGGAGTATGCCATAACTCACCAACAACAAAAAAGGTATACCCTTTATAATTGGTATTTGATGATTCTCTCTTTATCCTAGTACTCTACTTTAGTTTGGAAAAGTGCTCTAACTGTTGATTTCTAAGCTAACCAATGACTTTTGACTAGGTATGTGAAAACTGCAAGTACTATAGCACAGTGGTCTTAAAGACAATCCCATATTCAGTTTCTCCTCCAAGCTTTACTAAAATATAGGCCGCCAATGACATAAACTAGCAGTAACACATTTTTGGAATTTAGGCATTGAACAATACCACTTGATTTTTTTCTCATCCCTTTCAAACATAGATCAGACCTGGATTATCACATCCTTCCAAGTACAGCACCAACCAGGCTAGTTACAGCAATGTTGCAACAAGTGACCCATGTGATTTCCATTTACCACATTTTAGAGCAAGATCTGATGGTGGTCAAGGTGTGGAATAGTGGAAACATGGTGTAAAGCCATATATGAGGCCCAGTGCAGGTAGGGAAGAAGGGAGAAGACATCCATTCTTCTGTTTATAAGACCTGCATTCATTTATCAGACTGAAAATCAGGGAAACCACTATCAGAACCTGTAATTAATTAGGGTACACTTGGAGTAGATGTGACCAAGGATTTGTATCCTGCACCAAAGGCTAGCCAACACTGAAAGCAGAGATGTTTAAGAGTAATTAAAATGGCTGTTTGGATCACAGCTTACCAAGCTCTTTCCCTAAACTATGCAATTAATCATTAAACAATAGATCAGAAGCCTCTGGCAGAGATGATCTAGTCTAGTTGCCTAAAACCAGGTAGATATACGTATACAAACTATCAAAAAAGGATACTTCTAGAATCTTCTTTTAGTATCATTAGAACTGTTTGAAATGGATTCTAATTTGAAGGCCCACTTACAATTGGAATTTCAATGAAAAAAAACAAACAACACACCAACTTTTGTAAAAGACTTCTCTTGCATTTCCTAACAAGTTAAAGGATCACAGGATGTAGAGATGAATCTTACACATTATCTCATCTAGTCCTTTCATGCTATAGATGAGGAAACTGAGCCCAGAGAAAAAAAGTGGCTTGCTCAGAGTTGGACAGGCAGTGCATGCATTACAGGTCTTTAACACAGATTTTGACTCTACATCCTATCACCTATTCAGAGCCAATCAATGTGATGTAAAATGGAGATGTTCAGTGCAGCATCACCATGGGTAGATTTTCTGATTAGATAAAACATTAATGGATTATAGAATTTCCATGATGCTTTATAGATTTCAGTTTTTTAGAAATCTAAGTGCAACTGTGCTTTACAGTATGAAAAAGAAATAAATGCCATCTGCTACAAGCCATTTACCCAAATTACTATGCTCCTTAATAATACAAAGACACTTCATTCTTTTAGTGACTCCTGAAAATACAAATGGCTAAATACCCCCAGAATTTATGAAGCCTAGATGGTATTAATAGGATTCAACTGCCAGGTGCAGGGAGATTCCATTAATAGGTTTTCACCTAATTTTTCAGGATGGTCAAATTTCAATTACCCACCTTAATGGGGAGAGAGAATAGCATAAAAAAGTGAAATCTAAACATCTGAACCAATGGTTCTAACCTTTCTTCCTGGGCAAGCGCTGCCAAAATTTTGCTTAGCCAAATTAGCCATATTGATTTTCTACTTTTTTGCTGTTATTCACATTCTAGGGCTGGGAGCAGTGCAAGATTATCCTTCAGATAACAATCATGAAGCAGAGGAATGGAAATAGCATTATGGTAAAATATAAAGAATCCTGAATTGATATTCGAAAGACTTGGGTTCTAATTCCCACCCTCTTATTTACTACCTGTATGACCCTAGGCAAGTTGTGACTTCCCTGGGTTTTAGTTTGCTCATTTGTAAAATGAAGGGGCTGAACTAGATGATCCCTTAGGCCCTTTTAGCTCTAAAATTTATGGTTAGGCTCGTTTTGCTTGTCAAAAGGCAGATTTTAGTGCCACATAAAATAAGTGTTTAACAATTACAGATGTCCAGAAATGGAATGGACTGCTTTGGAAGGTAATGAATTCCCCTGTCACTGGATGTCTTCAATGGAGTTCTGACCACTGTCATTGGGAAGCACTTAGAACTAGCTAGCACAACTACGGTTTCAGTTCTAGTTTCTTAGATAATAATTAGTTATTATGTGGCATCTACAGCACACCATAGAGCAAAAAGGAAAAGATCTGCAGTGAGTTAAGAGTTTTCTATCTGAAATTGTGAAAATGCATAAAAATCCTAAAAGAAATCAAATTTCCCCAGCATGAAGTAATAGTTACAGGTCATAACAAAGCTAAGAGAATAGGGGAGGAAAATACAAAGATGAACATGATGAGAATGACAAGACACAGATTTTTTTCTTGTCTTGGAAATCAGGACATATTTGAGTTTCTGGTTAACTATACATCCCTAAAGGGAAAAGTTTCAAGACTCATACAAAGCAGATTAAAGCTGGAGACTTTGATCACTGGTGAACTATAGTGATAGAGGTAACACAATATAGTAGAAAAAGCACAATATTGGAGACCATGTTTTGCTATTTATTACCTGTGTGACCTTGGGCAAAACATTTAACCACACTGAGGTCCAGTTTCCTAATATGTAAAATGAAGGTGTTTGAATCAATGATCTCCAAAGATTCTTTCCATCTTGAAATCTATGATCCTAAGCCATATATGTAAAATTGAATAACAGAAGATAGAAAGGGGGCGCCAGTACAGCATAGTGCAAAGAATCACAGTTCTCTGGAAGTCTGAGTCTCAGAAGAATTAGGTTCTAGTCTTGCCATCACTACTTATTAGCTGCACTTATTCCGAGTTTTCTTATCTTTAAAGTTAGGATAATTACAGCTCTTCTCATCTCACAAGACTGAAGATCAAATGAGATAAGGCATATTGAAAGCACTCTATAAACTGTAAAAAGCTATAACATTAAACTAATATATTAGATAAGTTCATGTGCAATGAGTCTCAAACACCCTCATGTCTCAAGACATATGCCCTATTAAAACCTATAAATTCCATCTTAGCTTGAGAGGCTACAAAGAACCTTCCTATTTCCAAATCTTTCCTCTCTAAGTGAGTCAAAGATTCTGATCCTTGTATATACACAGTATTCTATAAACATTTATTGTTTATAACCTATTACATGCAAGGCACAGGAAATACAAAGACAAAAAAACCAAAACAAAATCCCAAACTATTGGATTGTAGAGTAGCCACACAGAAAATACTAATCAAAATGAATAGATTATGATCATTAGATTCAGAGTGGAAGGATCTTAAGAGTTATCTAGACAAACTCTTTTGTTTTACAGATGAAGACACAGAGACCCAGAAATGTCTAGTGACTTGCCCAACATCATAGAGGTGTAAGTAGCAGAACCAGTATCTGAAATGAGATTTCCAAAACCAGGGCTCTTTCCATTAAAGTAGCTCCTTTTCTTATGGTCATTTGAAACTGGATACATGTTCATACATCTAGAATGATATTAGCACAGTCCATCCTAAAGGCAGAGGATATAGCCTACACACACACACACACACGCACGCACATACATATATCTACACACACACACACATATCTACACACAAATACATATACATACATACATACATATATCCTCTCAAATCCTGTTAGTAGAGAGAGTAAGAAAGTACAGTTAATTGTTAAATAATTGATAAAATTTTCATCTAGACCCAATATATTTTTTAAGTCACACATAAAACACCCACAACTCACCTATTCTTTTCCATTTCATTGTGTGTTGATCTGAAAAGAGAGGGAAAAAAGACAGTAAGATTATTCTTGCCTAGAATGACCACAAAAATATTATCATGTTTACCATTACAACCAGTCTACCAACTGCCAAAGCTAAAAGGGATGTTGAAAGACAATCAGTCTTTGTTCATAATCACTACAGGAATGACTAGTTAGGCTATTTGATGGGCCAGAAAAATGTATGCATCTAGATATTACTATGCTATAAGAAATAAGAAAAGGGATGGATTCAGAGAAACCTGAGAAGACTTGTATGAACTGATACATGTAAATGTAAAAACAAACATTTTGAAAGACCTAAGAACTCTGGTAAATGTAACAGTCAACCATTTTTTCTGAAGGACCAATGATGAAGAATGCTACCCACCTCCTGACAGAGGTGATGCACTAAATATGCAGACTGAGACACACGCTTTTAGACATGGACAACACGGAAATTTGTTTTGCTTGATTATACGTATTTGTTGCAAGGATTTTGCTTTTCTTTTTTTCCAGTGGGGGGCAGGGTGGGAGGGAAAGAATTGAAAAATAATTAGTTTAATAAATGTATGCAATCAGAATATTGTCCTAAGTAAAAGTAACAGAGTTATGAAGTGCCTATTTTCCTTTTGGGAAAGTAACCAATTAAAAGAAAAGGTCAAAGTGTACTTGAAGTGCTCTAACAGTGTCACTCCTGTGCACAAAAATCTTCAATGACTCCTTACTGCCCACAGAGGAAAGTTTAAAGTCCTATGCTTATTTTTCAAGGACCTCCACAATTTGGAACTATCCCACTTTTCTAGAGTTATTTCATATTATTCTCCTCATTCTATTTTTTAGCTAAATTAGACTACTCTCTGTCTCCTGAACTCATCTTGAGATTTTCCAGCATCCTTTCTTTGCTCATGATTTTACTTAGGCCTAGAATGTTATCTCTACACCTGCTGATTTCCTACTCATTCTTTAAAGCCAAATTCAAAAGCCAGCTTCTCCAAAAAGCCTTTCTTGATTCCCCCATCAATAATGACTTACCCCCTCAGACTTCAAATAGCATTTTCCTTGTTATCATTAATGTACTTATATAATACTGCATATTAAATTTATCTGTATGTGTACCTTACTTCCCTTTTAGGCTGTAAGTCCAATAAGGGTAAATTACATGTCTATCTTAAGCTTTGTATTTTCCCCTAGGAGAGGAGTTTTATTGAAATGTGCATTAAATTCACAAAGAAAAATAACCCCACACCATATGTGAATTTAGGGTGGCATAATATTATCTATTTTCCCTAGGCTGAATGTAGTACAACAGTCATTATTAGATCAGATGCCTTTTTGCTGGTTTGGATTACATATCAAAATCTCAAGTTATTTTACTTATATCATAAACAAGTTGTCTTACTTTGACTAAATGATATAGTTTGGAATGAATAAAACAAACTTCATAGCAATCTTACTACTGGTAACATCGCCCATATTCTAAGTTCCTGCTGAAGAATGGCAACACAATACCTTTTAGTAAGGAGTTGAAAAAATGCAGTTTCAAAGATGATGAGCTTGCTCAGCCAGTGATGAGGGCTAGTGTTACACCATATTTACAGTTTTGCTACCAATATGCCCCATAACCTATGAAAGGAAGCATGTTACTACTTCACTATGCTGTCCTTGTCCTCTCCATGAGATATGGCTAATATTACTACTTGACACTATCCATATAAAGGTAGATCCATGAGTTAGCAGTCGTAAAAGGGCTTTCAGAACTTTGGGTGAAAGTTAGAGTGGATATAAAGTCCTAATATTAGTGTTCCTATAGTTGATCTTTAATAAAAAGGCATTATATCAAAAGGTTTCTACAAACGTTATTAGAAGTCAACAGTCTCCAGAATGTCCTTTCCTTTAGTCTGGGATAGGAAGAGCTTCACCACCATCTGGCCCAAGGCCATCAGTTTTCAAACTAGGAAAGTGAAGTCAGAGAGGTAAGGTGACCTGCTCAAGGTCACAGAGGTGGTAAGTAGGAAAGATGGGCTGGAGCCCAGGGCCTGATTCCAAGTCCAGTACTTCCCCACTGTACCTGGATGCTGTAATTTCAGAGAACTTTAAAGAATCACAAAATAGGAATTGAATCTGACTCTGATGTAGACTGTTACAAGACAGCATCATGATAGACAATGAAGTAGTGGGACAGAGGGGAGTGAACCTCAGCCTAAGGTCTTGGAGGTGAGCACTTACATGAACAAGTCACACAGGATTAATCGTAGAGCACTAGAGACCACCCTCAAGAAGTTCATTCATATTAGTTACTGGCTTATTCTGTTCTAGGATGTTTTTGGGGTGACCTATGAAATAGGAAATTTCAAACCAAGCTTTAAAACTCATCTCCCAAAGGTCTCTGGGATATGAAGTTTTAATGAGAAAGAAAAGAAAAAAGAAATCAAGATTTTATGTTTTAGGATGATTTGTTTACCATCAAAAAGATTTGCAGACATCAAAACTAATTATCCTGAAGGTTTTAATTCATTCAGTTTGTCATACATAGCCTTCCTTATTCCATTGTTAAATAATGATCCAGAAATTTATTTCCTAAACCAGCTATCTGGATAGCCATAGTTTATAAAAATGTTGATGAAGACCTTTTGTTTAAAGCCACATGGAATTTTAATTTTAACAAAGATAAAATTTTACATCTTTTTAGATTATGTTTTTGACTGTACATATGATCGTGACATGGCTACAACTGGGCAAGGTCCTCCTGTCTTGGTCAAAAGAACTATGCTTAATAGAAGATGGACAGGAAAAAAAGGATAGAATCAAGGGAGGGCAAAGGTAGAGAGTGGCTGGGTGTGTACATGCTTTCCTGGTCATAGTAAGAAGTAAACCCTAATTAAAAGGCAACTATACAGAATGTATGCATGCTAAATGTAAATTTCTTATTTATTTTAACAGTCAAAAATGTAAATTACAGTTTGGATATCAAAGTTAAATTTTTTGCTAGCAAGTATATCTCCTTTTAGGCTCTGAACTTATACAGAGTTGAAAAACCACAAAAGTCTTGACTATTTACTCAAGAATGTTGCTAATACTATAAGTCTTAAATTCCCAAGAGGGTCAATTTTCCTAATCTCTAGCATATTTCATTCAGTCATTCAACAAACACTTATTAAATGTTTATATAAATGGACTTCGATAAAGGGAGACATGAAGATAAAGACAGTGTCCCTATTCTCAAGACTACAATCTAGAAGGAAAAGAAATAATAAGTACACAAATAAAAAAATTTTTGAACATAAATATGTAAAAGGACTTATAAACTAAACTGTAGTCATTAATCATAACTGAGATATTCTTTATTTAAAGAATTAAGATTCCCAAAACAGAACCCAAAGTGACTATTTCTGAACTCTTTCCTTCTATATTTGTTTCTATGTAAACAACTTACTAATATCTTATGTCAGCTGAAGAAATACATGCCCTTTTCCAATATTCAATTAGATTATTGAAAAGTCTTGATAAACATTAAATTTCTCCATTTAAAAAAAGATAGCATTGAAAAGAACAGCAAAGAATTATGGTCCTATTACTCAAGTTTTAAACATATCAGACACTTGGGAATACTGCTCAGTTACAGAAATATTCCCCTTTTCCAAATAGTCAGTTGTTTTTATTGTCATCTTGAAGTAAAGCTAGTTAGCAGTCTTTCAACTACTTATCCACGAATATCCCAAAAGCTGCCTCACTTTAGCAAAGCATGTTCCAAAAAGTCTGTGGTCTGCAATTTGAAACAAGGAACTGATTAAAAAACATTAATAGGGGAAAACAATCACCACAAGCACTATCTACTTCCCTTCATTCCAAAAATCTAAAGGCAGATACTACCATTTCCAAACAGGACCAACCAATAATTCATAGTATTCTATTTGAATAGCTCTCAATGATCCAATCTTTATAATCACACTTATTGACTTTGGCCAAGGCACTTCCTTCTCTGAGCCTCAGTTTCCTCATCTATAAAATAAAGGATTGCTCCAAATGATCCTTAAGATTTCTTTCTAGTTCTAAATCCTATGATTCTGTTATTTAAACATTACAGATAGAATTAAACTTCAATTTAACAACTTCTTATTAAATACAATCTGCAAGGTGCTAGGGTGTGCTTGGTTAATCTCTGCATTTTCAATCCCAAGAAGGTCTGATATGCAATTAAAATTTATTATTCCTGATAACTGAATAGCTACTTTTTTTTTATTACATGTACCAGGAAAAAGGAACCCAGAAATAACAAAGTATAAAAATCAGTGAACATGGAACAGAAATAGCCATTCCATGGCCATGTAAATACAGTAGTAATTTCACCCTATCACCTCATAACAAAAGCAATATCATAACCCTAACAAGGACTGGTGCGCAATACCTATTCAAATTAAGGGGTCAAACTACATTCCCTAGTGAAAAGTGTCACTGGTTAGGTAGGGCAATTACAGACACAGGTGACTAAGAAAATGACCACATTTAAAATAAGACAACTGGCTCATGCAATTGCTCGGTACTATCTTCAGATTTAATTATATTCTCTTAAAAATCCTCAAACATGTCTTTACTTTCAGATAGCACGCATTTATTTAAGTAAGACTCATGCAAACCTCATATCTCCAACTCACAAAACTGAGGATACCATATTTACTATGGAGAAAAGAATAATCCTACTGACAGAAATAATAGTTAAGAATAATAATGGTTGCAAAAAAATCTTTTCCATTTATGAACTTGGCATGAACCCAAACCCATTTTATTTATTTCCATTCTTATTCACTCCACAAAAAATAGCCCTTTCTGGAATCATAATATGGGTAAGTGCCATCTTTAAGTATAATATGTATAACATATATGGGTTGTTTCAAAAATCAGGGATGGACAGATGGACAAAAGTAAAAGCAATGAATATGCATTTTCCTGGACAAATATAATTTGAAAACAAATATTTCTTCTAAACATAATAACTAGATTAAATCTACAGCGAAACAAAACAGAACAAAACACCCCAAAACAAATACCAAATAAACAAATGGTTGTTTGGTCATGAAACGGCTCATGGCTTTAATTCATTTCTACAACCATTTACTACCTTCTATGTGCTAAGCACTGTGCTTGGTATTGGGGATACAAAAAACAACAACCAAATAGTCCCTGTCCTCTGAAACTTACATTCTATTGGCCTAATTTCTTTTGTAGTGTAAAAAATAATAATACTAACAATGATTCTAGATAACAAAGTGCTTTCCCATAAATGATTTAATTTAATTCATACCACTATGGTTAGGTATTCCAGTTTTACAGATGAGGAAATGAGGCTTAGAGAGGTGAAGGAGGTCATTTGACTTATAATCAAAGCTACCTGACATTGGATAAGTGGCAGAGGTAGTATTTTAACCTGTCTTCTAAGTCCTAGGTTCTTACCACTTTGCCACACCTGCCTCTTCATTTTGCAAGAGCACCTTTCTCAAAGAGCCATACATACTACATGTACACTAGCAACTCTAAATAAACTGCATGTAATGCCAAAGTGAGGGAAAGAAAAATGCCACGTAAATACCAAATTTACTCTTAACATGTCTTCCTGAATCAAAAGACAGCACATATGTGTGTCTCATACATCTTGTAGTTCCACTTGCAACAAAATGGGGGTAAACTAGGGCTAGAAAGGCAGCAGGCTACAAAGTGATTGTTAGCTTCCTAGCCTTTAGTGGCTTGCACTATGCCATAGGGACTATTACTTATGGGGGAAAAAACCCAAACTCCAAAACAAAAGGTAGCTAGAAAATCACATGAATCTCTAAGCCAGTGACAGAAATGTCAATGTTTTTAATTTACTACCTTGGAAGACACAGTTCAACAGCTCCATAAAAACAGCATTTCAGAAACTGCCCATTCAACTTTACACACAGCAGACTGAATCTAATTTGGATAAATTCACTTTCCAAGGAAATTCTTACCAATCAAGAATTACTGACAACTTCTGATCCCTAGCCACACTGAAAGACTGAACCATTGTAATAACTTCTCCCGCCCCTCAAAACAAACTACATGCCAAGGTTTCAATTACTAAACCTCCCTTTTATAGCTCTTAGAAGAAACAGTAAATATATCAGCAACCCCAAAAGAGAACCAGTCCATTTAATCTAAATGCCAAATGAGAAATTCTATGACTTCCTATGCCAAATTGAATAATTTAATCTGTTTAAGGAAAAAAAAATCCTTCACAATGAAAACAAACCAAAGGAAAGACACTGTCCAGCATTTCCAATTACAGGGAAGTTGCTCTGAATTTGCAGCTTTTGAAAGCACAGTATTGTCACTGCTGGTGCTTCCCCCTCATTTCTTTTGCACTCTTCTCCAATCCCCTTCCCACAGGGAGGTAAAACAAAACAAATAAATCTCCCTCCCCTCAAAACCACCTGGAGAAATCTAAATTCTCTTTTCCTCTTCCTCAACAAAAGAAATGCTTTCTCCAAAGGCTGGAGGTTGTGCTGTACATTACTGTATCATTGATATATACAGAATATATTTACAATGTTGTAGTCACAACGGGCAATTGTATTCTGCAGTATAAGTGTACACAGAAGGGAGATAATGGACTAAAGAAGAGATATATTTTTCAAATCACCTGCTGCTGCTGCTATTCTTCTTGGATTTGCTCCTCCGTTTTAAGGCATCTCTGTCCTTGTTATTGTATGGTAACATGGAGGCATAACCATGTTCAGCTTCTAGAAAATCAGAGGATTCAGTCAGTAAATGATCCTAGATCGTTCAACCTCTCTTCCTCTACTTCCCCCATCCAGGACACGTCCCCACACTTGCGACAACCTCCTTCTATTATTATTTTTTAAAGGGATATGTTAACAAAAACAAATGAAAGTGGTATTCAGAGAACAATGAAAAAAAAAACAAAACCTCAACACATTTAAAAAAAACATGCTCTGAGTTTTAGGCAGGTGGAAAGGAGGATTCCAGGTCCTCATTGTTGAAAAAGAACAAAACACACTACCGACACTCAAAAAGCCAGATGTTTCTGATACTAAATACCCAGCAGGTTGGTGGTGTTGGAAATAGGAAAACACATGCGCACACACACACACACACACACACACACACACGCACGCACGCACGCACGCACACATACACACAAGCATACACACAAGCACATACACGCGCGTGCACACGCACACACATACACGAAAGATTCAGACAAACAGGATTCAGAGGAGAGGAGAATGGGGGGGCGGGGTAGAATGGACCTTCGGGCTGTAAGCGTGGGGAGAACGTTAGGTGATGTAGGAGCGAGTCCCATCCGTGAGTGGGTGGTTGGCTCCGTGGGGGAGGGCATGTGGGTAGGGAACTTGGCTGAGGTAAATCTAGGGGTGTCTCTACATTAGTGAGAGCTACAGGTCTGCTTGCCTCCCCAGGAGGAGGAAGGAGATGCAGCGCGCACCAGGCTACCCAGCGTCAGCTCCCTCTCCTTCTTCCCTTCTATTCCATTCATTGCCTCGTGGTGGGAGTGGGGGCCGCTGTAGGATGGGGAAGCCCCCACCCCCAACCCTGGCCCCGAGTTGAGGGGGGAGGTTGGGGCGCTCGCGGTGTTGCCCTCCGCTAACAACCCTCGGAGCGGTCAGGGCTCCCCGCCCCCACCAGGGCTTTGCACCTCAAGGTCTCTCCAGCCAGTCCTCCCTTCCCCGTGCGTGTCCCCCTTAGGCCCCCGGCACCCCTCCCCGACCCAGGCTTCGGGCCCTCAGGGCTCCGCCCCTGTGCCTGCCCCCTCATCCCCGTGGCTGCTCCCTCAGTCCGCCTGTCCCCCGTACCCCGTGGTTGACTGCCCCCTCAGTCTGCCTGCCTTCCCTCCCCAGTGGCTGCTCTCTCAGGCCCCTGTCCACCCCCCACCTCAGCCCCCCTGCGGGAGTCCTCCCCGCCCCCGTGCACCTCGCTCTCGCCGCTCCAGGTAATCGGCTGCCTCCAGCAGCAACTGGATGTTCATCCGAACCGCCGCCGCCGCCGCCACCGCCATTCTGCATCCACCGGGGGCCGGAGCCGCGGGACCAACCCCCAGCGCCCGTGGCCTCGCTGCCCGTCCGCTGGACAGACGGTGAGATGGTCACCCCAATACACACACACCACGCCGGGGACCACGATCCCTGGGAGTCGGCCAAGGGGCGACAGAGACACCGATACCGTGACAGGACACGGAGCGGAGGCACTGCCACCTACCCCTGCCGAGTGTTTATCTCCGACTCACCCCCTGGCCACCCCCCCCAAGCTCCTTCACTTGACAGGCCCGCCTTGGCGGCCACCCTCATTGGACACGAGGTTAGACGCCCCGCCCCTTCCCTTGCCCTATTGGGGAAGGGCACCGTGGTGCCGCCCCGCGGGCTCCGCTGATCGCTCTGGTTGGGTAAGCTTGACAAGGCCCCAGCCCCACCCCTCCAAGTTCCTATTGGGCTATCGGTTCCTATAACTCCGCCCCACACTCCCTTTCCCAAGTTTTTATTGGTTCAGAGGTCCGCAACCGGGCCCCCTTTTCACTTCATTGGCATTGGCCAATTACTATGGAAGACACGCCCCTTCCTCTATCTACCATTGGCGAATCTTTCTTAAACATCCCCGCTACGATGATGTCATCCCTTTCTCTAAGACAGGTAAAGCGTGAGTGGTTGAACAGCAAATGCCCGCCCATCTTTATTCTGTCTTTTCATTGGTTGAGGGAGACAACACGTCCAGGAGGAGCAAAGCAGTTTCGCCCCTTTTTTACATAGACTCCGCCCTCGTGAAGGGTAGCGAAACCAGAGTAGGACTTGTTGACTAAGTCCCACCCCTCGGGAAAACTTGCAGTCCTCTCCAGGGCTCCTTCAATGTTAGGGATCACGTCACTCTTGAGGTTAAGCCAGTCAGAACCTGCAGCAAGCCACCACTGGGTTTGGGGCCAGGTGCCAGGCAGGGACTAAGGCCTGGGGCCTGGGGATGCTCGCGCGGACCCCGAGAAGGGATTCAAGGTACGCTTCTGGCCGAGTCTTCGTGTAGCCCTTTGCCCCAAGGCTAGCTTATACCGATTTTGCCGGGATCATGTCTTTAACCTCATTCCTATAATTCATAGGACCATGGAATGCTTGAGTTTCACCGAACCATAGAATGTTAGGGCTGAAAGAACCATATTGCCTTGAGACTTGTGGGGCTACTTCGTCCCATTATCATAGAGACTGCTGCTATCTTAAGGAATAAAATACAATCTAGCATTTAGTTAAATAGAGTAATTTAGTACCAGTGGGAACAATGGCAGCACTGCTGGGGTGAAGTTTCTTAACTGTAAGAACAGGTTCTTTCCTCCATCCCTGCCCTCCAATAAAAGTGCTAGGCTTCCATGATCTGAAGCCAGAAGATCATAGGATTTAGGATTGGAAAGAATCTCTAAGGTCCCTTAGTTCTGAAACCTAGTGAAAATTAAGCTTCAGCAGAACACAGAGTGAGCATTCAGGGTCCTAGCAGAACATTCCTGAAGGCACCTGCAATTCAGACACTCTGTACTGTCAGTCACAATGCCTACAACAACTCAAACTGCTTCCATATCTTCTCTTGCTACCATGTGTGACAGTGATCATTTGAAGTGTATCACATGATTATTGTGCATAGGGAAGGGAAACAAATGCTTATCTGTCAAATGCCTCAGCAAGTAGGCCTATTGCCCAAACATTTTGCCAGAACTGGAATTGGAGAAGGGGGGGGGGGGGAAGAGGGAGAGTGTTGTTAAGCTTTATTGAAAGCAAACTTCAGTCTGCATTTTACAGTATCACTACAGTTCAAATCTGCTAACCAACCTACCTTCTTCCCTCAAAACAAAAAAACAAACAAAAAAAACAAAAAAACCCTTAAAAACTAAACCTCCCAAAGCAAGTTAGAAGTAAAATTTCCAGTAGTATCTGCAAATATTTTTCCCTTCATAATGTTGGGTACAGAGGACACTTTTAAGGTTAAGATCTGGAAAGTTATTAGTACTTACAAAACAATTTAAGACATGGATTTTGATCCATCTGTAATCTCTGTAGGCTTCTTGAATTATAAAGTAAAAAATTCAAAATAACTTGTCTCAGGACATACCTGTAACTTAAGATCTTTTGGCATAAAAGCAATATTAATGATAAATAATATGAAAACTTAACATTTTCCCCTAGAGAGCTAAAAAGTTCATTTATACTAGTTTGGTTAAGAATATAAAAATGCCTGTGAGATAAAAGATGAAAGTTACTTGAAGGTAAGTGATAGACGCTTACTATCTCTTCTCTATTTAAACAAGAGGGAAGGTGGGCCCTTGGAAATTTGCCCAGTTTTATAGGAACCAGCAGCAAAGCTTAAAAAAAAGAAGACATCAATTCCCAAACCACTGGATGACCAAGAGAAACAAATGTATTTTTCTAAAACTTGAATAATTTCACTTGTCAGAGATTTGGACAATTACTAAATTCTGGACACACAAAACAAGCAGTCAAAGGATCACTTTAATCATCCATGAGGATGTTGAAAAGTTTTTTTGAAAAATACTTCTTTTTTATGCATGTTAATAATCTTGTAGTCAACCTGACAGGAACACGGCGCGCGTGCGCGCACACACACACACACACACACACACACACACACACACCACACACACACACACTCAAAATGGAAAATAGAAGGGCAAAGTCTAAACTCAAGGCAGCAACAGGGAAATTTAAACAAACCCAGGTTTGTATTAAACACAAAACTAGAACATCAGGTTTAATTAAAAAAAAAAACCCAAACCAACACAACCAAAAAACCAAGAGGACTGAATCAAGGCAGGTAGTGCCTGTTTAATTATGTTACACTACCTGCAAAAGCTAGAAGTTCCACAGAGGGCTTTGGAAGGTATATGGTGCCATCTACTGGAAATGAGACAATATAAAATGTAAAACATGATGGAATTTCTCTCCGCCTATTAGAAATTATTATTCAGAAACAAAAACAATTATAGAACCATTACAACTAATCGATTAAGACAAATGTAAAGTAAACTTAAAAAAAATACCCTCACAACATACAGAGGAGTCTTCATGTTTCATTTTGGTATTTATATTCTTAACATCTTGCCTTGGACACAGTAGGCACCTAATAAATGTTTTTTAAACATTTAATTTTAAGGTAAATTTAAAAGTATATAAAAATAGCAGGGGGTGATGATGAGGAAAGCAACCTTTTTATAATGGATTATTTCAAGATATTTTGAAAACCACTACCTTTCAAGAAGATTTAACTAAACAGGTTAAGAATGATAGGATCTGAGAGTTGGAAGAGACCCTCAGTCTCTGGTCTAAATTCCCAGTCATGTAGGATTCTTTTCTTTAGCTTATATTAAAAATGGTCATTTAGCTTCTGCCTGAACAATTTTGATGTCAGGAAGTTCACTACTTCACAAGGCAGCCCATGCCATTTTCAGAGAGTTGTTATAAAGTTCTTCCTTATATTAAGCTGAAATTTATCTCCCTATAGCTTTGACCCATTGCTCTTGAACAACACAAATATAATCTGTTTTCTTCTGCGAGCCAGGGCTTCAAATATTTGAATTGAATTATAATACCTAACCTAAGTTTTCTTTTATAAGGACAGCTAGTCATACACAAAGCTAAAGTAAGTGGCCGCACAATGTAATGGGATGTTAAGGATTGCAAAAGGTTCTTATGCATATAAATATCACCTTAAAGATCTTAGTGTGGGATTTATGGCCACTATATATGTCCTCTTTTCTGGAAAAAATCACATTTTAAAATATTCTGTCTCACTATTCTTATATCCCATTATTTTTATATATTGATGGATTTGCCTTTTTCAATGGTGCAGGTTGCCACTCATTCATGTTTCCTCCCCCTGTGCTATTCTTTTCCAGATTTCTTCCATAAATCCGTCATACAGGATCTATCCTGCATACTTGGAGGTATCTGCTCATTCAAAGTATCACAGGATCCTAGGTTTACAGCTGAAAGAGACATAAGAAGCCATCCATCTACTACAAATCCCATGTTGTTTTTTAAAAATATTATCATGGATAAAGGTGGAACAGAAATTTAAAGCTTTAACCATTAAAAAAGTTCCAAGAAATTCCAATTTCAATATTAGGGCAAATAGTAAGTGAATTAATCATGTGAGTAAGAATTAGAAGATTGAGATCTATAAAAAAAGAGAATCATAGTTTGAACATTTTGACTGCTAAAGAAAACTCACAATGCTAGCCTGTATTTTGTACATGTATAGCTATCTCTGTAGTATGTAAGCACATCATTGATGATTCTTGTTGAAAAACCTACACTAATATATGTAACTATGGCAGCAAGGCAACCTTGATTCACCATGTGTCCTGATTTTTTGGTTGTGGAAAATAGGATCATTGTAGACATATGCCTAAAGGAAGCATTAAGTTAAGGAGGAGGCAACCCATTAATAATTCACGTCTCTATGATGCTTCAAGGTGTTCAAAGTAAGGGTTTTCCAACTATCTGGGCATTTTCCAGGAGTCTTTGTTAAAAGCAGAGCAGCTAATTAACCCTTGAATTGCACTGGAGAACTGTTACTATGTACTTAATTCTGACTAGTAAGAAGAAGAATGGATAAAATAGAAATGACAAGAATCTTAAGAAACAGTGACCATATATCATCATATACTTCCTGATAGTATATGAAGGGAATGCTGGGCATAATCTGGCATATACCACAGAATTTAGGAAAGTAGATTTTTAAGTTTAAAGAAAAGATAGGTATGATGGCATGATTTTTACTACCATTTCCTCATCCTTGCTATTAACTACTGACCTCCAGCTCCCTCTCCCAACTTTCTCAATGACCTTAGCAAATGGCCTAGTCCTTCTCTCTACCCTGTTCCCTGCCATACTTTTCAATATTCTTGCATGTCCAAAACTGAACTTATTGCCTTTCCACCTAAACTATTCCTTCTGTCTTCATCATTTCTAGCAGTGACTCCACCAATCTAACTCAGTCACCAATGTTTAAGTTTTGATTACCTTTGACCTTTCCCTTTCACCTCTCTAATACAATCAGTTACCAAGTCTTGTTGATTCTAACTCTGCAGTATTCCTTGAATCTGTTTTCCCTTCCCTGTCCCCATTATATCACTTTCTTATGACATGGCTGCATCACCATACTGGTCACCATCTTCTAGAGACTCTAGTTTAAAATAAGGCATTTATTTCCATATATGGACAGAATAGTCAACAACATATAATGTGAACTAGAAATATTAA